TTATATTATTATATCGATTTTTATACTTATTAATATTTTCAATATTATAGAAATATTTTTCAATTATTTTTTTAAAGATTTTAATTATTTTAATGTACTAAATATAATAATATAATATAATAAATATAAAATTCTATTATTAAAAGAGAATATCTCATAAAAATTTATTTTTATAATTCATATTATATGTATAATTACAAAAAAATAACTTACAAATAACTATAAAAAAAAACTAGATTATCAAAAATACAGAGATGTGATAAATAAATTCATATTGTTTTATTATATTTAATTATATTTAATAAATCAAATATTTTTTTTTTAAATCAAACGCGGAAAGGAATAAATAAACAACTTGAAATTAGTAATATAAATTTTATCATTAGGTCATGACTTCAATTTTTTCCGTTGTATACATATAACAACATATAATCTTTCGTATATTAAATACAATTCTTATTTATTGTTAGTCAGAAAAATGACGTGGTGGTTTGCCAAAGTACTAATCAAATTATTCATATTTTTTACCATAAGTAATCACATTTTGACAGAAAGTTCAAAACTAAATATTTTGGATTATGTTAAGAAAAATTTGTATAATTTTCGTAATAACAATTTGAAAGATTTTATTTTTACACTCTCGAATTCGTCAAAGTACATTAACAATCGAATAAATTTCAAATCAAATCAAGTCGATTGTTTCGGTTTAGGAAAAGGATTAGCTAGAATTTTGGAATGGTTTTTTTTGAGTAAACCAAATGGAACAAATGCTTTGGATGTTCAATTTTTCCTTTCTTCAAGAAAACAACCAAAACGTGTTCAAGTTATGATTGGTAAACAATTTGGTTTAGAATGGACAGACTTTCAAATCGAACGATTAACAATCATTATAGTTCATGGATTCTTATCTCATGGTCAAGAATTATGGATTAATGAAATGGAAAAATCATTCCTTCTATGGGTAAAATCTCTTTTTTATTCTTTTTTTTTTTTTTTAAATATTATATAAAAATTTTTTTTTCAAAATGTTAAAAATTTTAGAAATGTTGTTATTATTTTATTAATATGTAAATTTAGGTAGTAATTTTTTTTTTTTAATTTTTTCATGTCTAGAATGACGTTAATATCATAGTTGTAGATTGGAGTGCTGGAGGTAATACTTGGAATTATTATAAAGCTGCAGTTAACACGAAAATAATAGGATATCAAATTGCAAGGTTTGCCTATATTCCTTATATATTTAATATATTTTAAAGATATTATAATGATATAATCATATTAAGTCATAAAGTTTATTGTTTTATTAAGATTTTTAGAACACATAACAAATGCAACAAGTGCTCAAAATGATTTCAACGATAATTGGGGGCAATTACATTTAGTAGGCCATAGTCTCGGAGCACATATTTGTGGTTTTGCTGCGAAAGAATTGAAAAAAAGGAAAAACAAATGGAAAATACTAAGAATAACAGGATTAGATCCTGCACAACCTTGTTTCAGAAATGTAGACTCCAGTATGAAACTTCATAAATCTGATGCGTCATTTGTCGATATTATTCATACTAATGGCAGATTACTTTCTAAAATCGGATTAGGTTTACCAGAACCAATAGGTTAAAATATTTTTAACTATTCGCATTATACGTTAATACGAAGATAAATGATTAAAATGATTTGTATTATATAGGTCACATTGATTTCTACCCTAATGGTGGTAGAACTCAGCCTGGTTGCATAAAGATCAATTCTTCGTATTTCGAATATTTACCAATTCCACTTGGAGGTAATTATTTGTTAAAAATGTTTCATTACGTTTCTTAATCTTATTATTATAATTTTTTTTTTAAATTTCAATGCGATTTTAGAAATTAATAATGCTATATGCAGTCATGGACGTTCATATATTTATTTGACGGAATCTTTAGTTTCTGAGGTGAAACAAAATTGTACTTTCTGGGCGCACCATTGGAATTTATCTTACCAAAACTTGTTGCAAATAGTAACAGAATCTTGTGATAAAAATATTTGTACTGAAATGGGTATAAATGCAATAAAGTATTCTCATCGAGGAATATTTTTTGTCGCAACTTCCGATACTTCACCTTTTTGTAGTAAGAAATTTATAAAATATAAAATTTGTATTATATTTACTCATTTATATATCTGTATAATGATGAATTTTTTAATTTTTACAGTTAATGACACTCACATAATTGCTGAACTAGTAATTCAAATGAAAAAAGATTTCCCAGACGAATTTTATAATTAAGACGAATAATTTATGAATAAATTAATATGTAAATTTTTGATTGATAAATAAAAGAACTTTACTTCAAATTTTCAATTACATACAATATTTAAGTTATTAAATGCAACTAAGTACTATTTACAATCGTTTTGAAAATTAAGTTATGTACATATCACGCTATTTAATTATATGCGTACATGAATACTGCATGAATAAGCAGTCTTCGATTATTTAAAGTCTAATCACTTCTTTTATTAATTATGACCCAGTACAAAGACATAAGCCACTTTTTAAAGCACGATTATATATCTTTCCTTGTTTTTTCAATTGAAAATAACAAAGATAGATATACAATCGCACAGCGAAAAGTTGCTTATGCGCACGGGATCTTATATACTTTTATATTCTATGATGACTTTATATTACAATTTATAAATTATACTACATAAGTTATACAAATAGAAAGAAATATTTCGTTGTATAAACATTTTTTTTTTTATTACGATTTATAATATTGTGGCGATAATATGAATTTCTTCGAAAATTGATTTTGTGCATTCCGCGTAATCTTTATGTATTATTATTGGCACTTTAATGAACGTGAAAAAACATGTAATAACATATCTTTTTGGAAATGATATTAACGCGTGTATACGTTTAAAAAATATTCTCGCGACATATAATAGTATAGCAATTTTTTAGTGCGTTATATTTCTTACTGAAGTAAAAAATGTTACTTTGTACAGTTTTAAATTTAATATTTAGAAAGGCCACATTAAATTTGTAGCATACTTTGGTAGTTCATCAATGATGTATGATTAATATCTTTCGTTGTCATTTATTCTTTTTTATATTTTAATTGCATTTTGTGAATATTTTTCATATATTATTACACTCACCTGTTTCCGTTCCTTTTTTCTCTTTCTATAATTAGAAGAATATATTTTTTATCTTTAATATCGGATGAATTAATTAATGAATAACTTGAACATAAGTGGCTGGAAATATTCCAGTTCGTCCCCTGCATTCGCCTATCCACCAACCATCTGGTTGCTTTTGATGGACCGTAATTAAATCTCCAGGACTTAGACTAAGCTCGTCATTTAAATTTGCTGAATATTGATAAATAGCTCTACATTGTTCCGTTCCATCCGATTTGCCACTCGTTTCGGCAGCATCGATATCTTGATTATTATTATCTTCAGAATGACTGCTGAATTCATCAAAATCACTAAAGTCATCCTCATCCGGTGGATTTTCCGAGTTACCATCCCCAGCAGTTCGATCAGCCCAATGACGACTCTCAGTATCGTGATCCTTTACGAGATGGACATCCATTTCGTCTTCATCATCCTGAATCTCGAACGATTCGTTCTTTGCCCAAGAAGGAATCTGAAAAAAAAAATATATACATTTATTTTTTTCTATTGTTTTCTAATAATTTTATATATAAATATGTAAACTGAAAAATTTATTTTTTTATTTTTATGATTGATGTTAACCTTAAGGACACTTTGCTGTAAACCTTGTTTATCTCTTGAAACTAAAATATGTTCAGCCAATGGATGTTTTATTCGTTTGCTACCTTCTACTTCTGCTAATGTTCCTCCAACTTTGTACCTTGCTGCCTCTAGATATACTAACATAGAACGCATCTAAAAAAATAAATAAATAAATAAATATGATTTTGAAAATGAAAATGATATGAAAATTTAAAAAAAAGAAATAAAAAAGTAATCTTACATGGTGTAGCTTTTCCGTTACATTTTGTGTACTTTCATCTGCCGCGAATGCAGGTGTTGCAATAAAAGCTCTATGAAGAGTCTCTAGACCTTCCCTTCCGCGTTTTTCACGCTCCAAGTCTTGTCTGATCAAATGAAGAACTCTTACCAACGCTTGTTTTCGACGTTCTCTATTCATTGCTAGAGTAACATGTTCAGCATAGAAATCTGGTAACAGTTGTTCAGAATTACACCCATCACTACTCTCCACCCTACGTATAAGATTCTTTAAAATCTCAATATCTTGAGATACATTGCAATTACGTATAGGAGCTGCCAAACGGTCTGCAATCTATAAAGTAGATTTAAAAAAAACGAAATATTAATTTTACTTCAAAGAAAAATTAATTGTATGAATTGTATGTACCTGTTGCAAACGGGGAGCTAAAGCTTGCAGGTGAGCTAGATAAACATTCGCGAGATCTTTTAGAGCGCTTAATCGTTCTTCTTCAAGAAGTTCCATTTGCTTAGCCCCTTTCCTCATGGTGCTTTCATATTCAAGCCTAGCTCTTTCAGCTCTCACACTCACTGTATAAAACTCCGTGTCCGCCCTGCGGGATGAATCCTCGGCCTTTCTCCTCCTCGCTTCGAGTTTATTAGCTTCCTTCTCCGTCATGTGAGTTGAAGATTTGTTATTGGTCTGTTGGCTCTGACTGATCGTTTGCAGCCTCGCTAAATCTTGTAACCTCTCATTTTCTCGCGCACAAGCGAAACTTTGTTTTTTACTTTTAATTGCAATGTTACGCCACTCATGAAGAGATTTTCCAGCTTTATCCACGGAATTCTCGATAGATTTTCTCGAACGCGCTTGAGCCTCTGCTACTCCTACCTGTGAATATATAAACACTTTTTAAGATCTCTTTAAAATTAGTTTGTTAGATAATCATTCATATTTTATTCGTTGTTACGAATGATAGTATGAAATAATATTTAAAGTAATAATATAAAGAATATTACAAACTAGATATGAACAAAAGAAAATTTTCAAAAGAAACTTACTCTAAGTGGTTTGGCGAGTTGTTCGCTAAGCGTAATTCCCCAGAGCCTATGAGCTTCAGCGGTAGCCTCCATTTCCTCGCCAACACATCTCCATGCCTCGTTCACACCTCCGCTACCATTACCACCTGCGTTACGAAAACTATTAGTTATATTTTAAGATTATCTCACTAAATCGATATCTCCTATTTTGCATTATTGCATTAAATCAATCTATAGAGTTTGTGACTTGTGAAATAATACCTTGATCCTTTGCACATGCTTTAATCAATTTATTTCCCAATTTATTAAGTCCTTTGGCATAATTTGCTTCTAATTCCGCTCTGAAATAAAAAAAATCTATGCTAATTCATACTAAATTACGAATATATATTGTAAGATAAAGCAAAAAAGATATGTATATATATATATATATATATATATATATATAAATTTTTACATATACATATATATAAAAATTAAAAAAAAATGATTACTAAATAATAATAATTAATTATAATATTGTTACGATATTGATCATTTAATACAAAAACGTATGCCTATAATTTTTTGAAAAAAATTTAAAAGATCAATAATATATAAGGATATGTACAAGGACATATAATAAAAAATATATTTTTAACAAATGCAAAATATATATAAGTATAATTACGCAATATAAAGAAATAATAAAAAATATTATTTACTATACATATATTTATAAAAATTGAAATTTTATAAAAAATGGACATACATATTTGTGCATTAAATCATCGATATGTTGTATCAATGATTATCGAAATAATTCACCTTTCATTTAGAATCGATGCCAATTCCTTGCAAAAATCGCCGCCTTGTTTTACGTACCTTCGAACATCTTCAAATCCACCTTGTCCTCCCTGTAAAAAGAATGCAATATTAATTCTTTATCTATTTTCAAGATTAAACGGTTGAAGTCGTTCTATGCTTGAATGATTATGGGTAATGATAAAGAAAACTCGGAAAATAACTCACGAAATACGAACATTTCTAACGTATCTAACGAATGAGTTATAACGATTTCTTTTTACGTTCTTGTTAACTTGAGTTCCGCGCACCTGGCGGAGAAAACAATAATTACCATAAATAATATTTTCATTTCACTTATTCGTCGACAGGCTCGATTATTTTATTTATTACGGAAAATTTTGAAAATTTTGAAAATAGAAAATTTTAACGACACACTATAACGACATTACTATGAAAAATGTATCGAATAAAACCAAAAAACTCTTGGTTATAAAATAAAACCGATTATAAACGCAATATTTATTGTTTTTATCATTAGTCGTGTTACGTATCGTCTTATATCAGTATATCAGAAATATTTTTCTTGATCAATGACTAGTTTGAAGAAATAGTATAAAAAAATTAAAAATGTATATTTGATGTAACGCCCGACTCAATCTTCCGAGTTATTTTCTAGCTAGACGACTTTCTAATCCAGCACTATGGTAAAAATTCATTTTCTTAAGCGATTTAAATTTAATTGTTTTTTTCAAATGAGATTGTTTGAGAGATTTGAACATATAGAAATTTGAAATGATTAATGAAATTTATTCTGAAATTATTTTAATTCGATTAAATTCTTTCAAAATTACTAATATTAGTAAATTTTAATATTAGCAAATTTAATATAATATTATAATATATTAGAAAATCATAATATTAATCATAATTATAATATTAGAAAGTTAATTACAATTTATAAAGATTTATAACTGAATGTTGCAAGAAATTTAATATAAAAAACCTATTAAGTAAAAATAATAAAAAATATTGCTTCATTATAACATGTTTATATCTATTTTCTTATTATTTAAAATTGTTTAAAATTAAAAAAATTCAAACGTTAGTATGATTGTGTAAATTGAAAAAATTGAAAATTTATAAATATAAAAATATTAAAATTGAAATAATTTTTTAATAATTTATAAAATATATATAATAACAAATAATAAGATTCTAGTCGTTATTGAAATGCAAATAATTCACTAAATATGAAAAAAGATATAATAGAATTATATATGTTAATAAGAATCAGTTAAAAAAACCTTAAATATGATATAGATGTCAGCAGTTGTCAAGAAACGCGATAATTTAATTAAATATATACAAAAAGAAATATATAGTATTTTTTCGTCAGATTTAATGCTAGCGTATTCATTGTGAGAGAAATATTAATTAACCATGAAGAGAGATTAATTTTCTACTAGACATCGAAAGTAAAATCGTTCGATAAAAATGAACGTATTCGTACGAATTCATTTGCAAATAAATTTATACGAATTGAAAA